TCTATTCTACTTTCGGTTACTGTCGATTTATTCCAAATGATGGCCTTTCAATGACTTCCCTTATTCTAAGACTATACTGATGATCTATATCTAGTGCTCGTGTGAAATGCTTGTTTGCATTAACGCGATCTCCACGTGCTTTAAATATCGTACCGATAAGCACGTGTATCTTAGGTTCTTGAGGCGCAAGATGCAAGAGGTCCTGTGCCTCTTGAAGCGCTCGCGCAAAGTCCTCTTGTTTGAACAGTGCCTTTGCTCGCTTAAACAGCGCGAGAGGTGCTCTTGGCGATCTTTGGCATGCTTTTTCGTACATGGAATGCGCTTCTTCCGATCGTCCCAATTTTTCTAATATTTTACCATAACAACACAATAGTACTGCGCTGTTGGGGTTAATTTTTAATGCTTTTCGATAGTGTTGTTCCGCCTCATCCCGTTTCCCACAAGTCAAGTAATAATTGGCCAAACCATACAGAGCGTTGTAATGCCGAGGATTCGTGGTTAAAGCTTTTCTGAAATGCGTCATTGCCTGATCGTAATTGCGGTTGGCCATGTTCTCGTGTCCCGAAAGTGTGTGTGCATAAGTGAAAGATGGATCCAGCTGTATCGCTCTTCGGAAACATTTCAATGCATTCTGATGTTCATGACGTCGACTGAAACAGTTTCCTGCCGTTATCCATGCTTGAGGCGAGCGTCGGTCGAACTCTAAGAGTTCGTTGGCAAGAGCGCTCTGTATGTTGTCTTTGCGTATATGCCAGAGAACCGTCGAATATATTTCCATATCTTCATGACGATAAGGGGCAATGCGATGTGCCTGATCAAAGTAACCGCAAGCCTTTGTGACGAAAAAAAAAAAAGAATCAGGTTATGCAAATCGATATATCTCATCAGTGTGTGGTCTTTTACTTACCGCATCATATTCCGCCAGCTCAAAATGAGCCTTTGCCAATTGACACAGTATAAAAGGCGACTCCAACTGTTCCTTTGGTAATGTCTTGAACACATCCAGTGCAGCTCGACATTCGTAGTAGCTCATGTACGCACATCCCTTCGCCGCCTTCTTCAATAGTGACATGATTTCAGTATGCACCTCCATATTCTTTATTTCCTTCTCCTCCTTCGTCTCAAAGTCAAAGTCGTTTTCTGATGGTTGCTGCTCTTGCGCAAACTCTTCATCGATATCCTATTACAGTTGAATTAGAAGCAAAGTTAACTTTGTCGTTAATAATACATGTATTAAAATGCGCGAGTGCGCGTTATAGGGCATATATGGCTAACCATGTGTGAAGAGAGTCTTGTATCTCGTGGAGAACGTGCTCGGCAATGGTCATCATCCATAGTTGATATTGTTGAGCTATCTTCGGTGGATATACGTCGTTTCTTTTCGCGATGTTCGATTTGTTGTGTGGGTGAAGATATTGGAGATTGCTGAAGCGAAATAAACAGAAGCAGTTGTAGCGAGAGATTTTGGATTGTATTTTTGCCCGTGTCAAGCATCATGAGGAGGAGAGTCCCTTCAACTATGTTATATATAATACATAGTCCAAATGCTAGGCTACGAAGAAACATTCATATATACTATCCCATTCCCCTCAAGGGTAATTAGGGCTGCATTATACACACCTTCAATCCCAAATTTTTCGCACGACGCGCTATGTGGTATCCCTTTTCTCCTCTGGTAAACATTGGCGTTGATGTCGATGTTACTTTTCGTGAATTCTGTATATCTGTGCATGGGGCTCTTAACATGTGTTCCTTATTTGTCCGGAATATCAAATCAGGGTCGATGTCTTCTTCTTCGGGATTTCGCTCTCGATCCGCTTTTATTAGACCCATTTGGCAGAAAGCTTCGAATGCCTCCCACATGAATGGGCTTAATTTGAGACACTCTTGATAATATCTTCGCGCTTCCGCTTCACATCGTGCCCCACGACAGAGATGACCAAGAAGACATAAGACTGCAGCTTTGTCTGGTACATCCTTGTTTGGTAAAGAGCTTACGCCTGATAATTGGGATCGAGACACAACGCGTCGCGTTCAGCGAGTATTCAAATGACAAAATGACAGTAATGTGCAGACTTACCAAGAGTAATATCGGTCACTTCTGGTCGAGGCCAGACGTTTAGCAAACGTGTTTTGCCCTCTACGTACTGTTTGAGGTCAAGACAGCATCTGGCGAATAGGAAAACGCATTTTAGAGACTCTGCCTTCTTGAGTATATGGTAAGCAGATTTTATCTGTCCTGATCGATAGTAACAAGTGGCCAAAACAAATTTCGAGTTTTCGTTTGAAGGGTCCATGGCAGCAAGCCTCTCGGCCAGGAATGTTGCCGAACGGTAAAAGTGATTTTCTAATTGTTGCCAGATTGCCGCCTCCATTTTCATGAGTTTTAATGGTTCGCGAGTCTCCACGAACTTTTTGTTGAATGTGTATGAAGGTAGTTTGTCTTGTGTTCAATGTGTTGGTTACGCAACTATGGGGTCTATTTCTGATAGTTGTTTTATGGGGGGTGCAGAGGAAGAGTAGGTAAATGAATAGGTAACGGGTTTGTGTAAACAGTGTAATAATGATTTACACCTTGAAATGGAAATGAACTGTTCAAATGACAGTCAAGTGACAATTTATGGCTTGTTGTAGCAAACAAATTCATTGCGTCACACATACAGCAACTCTACTCGCAGAAGGAATTGAAGAAGGAAGAATGTATGCGACGTTATAGAATCGGTAGAAGAAAAAGGGTTCGTTGTTGTTGTTATTGGTGAGATTGTCACCAGATTATCTCGAAAGGGGTCAAATTTTGAATCAGATTCAAGGGGTGAAATTTCTGCATATTAATACTCCCAATGATAGGCGAAACCGGTCTCAAAAAATACCGCATTTGGTATACAAATAGTCAATCGATTTGCAGATTTACTATTCGATTGGACACCTAATTTTTAATGATACTAAAATACACAACAGGGCTGTAGGTTCTTTATATGGCAATCGAATATTCTCGAATGGGTTTCAACAAAAGCGAGTAAGGAAGCATGTTTTGCTCACGCATTAAAAATATGGGCAACAGGCGATTAATACTCATATAGGGTAATAGTAATAGTAATAGTAATAGTAATAGTAATAGTAATAGTAATAGTAATAGTAATAGTAACGGATATTCAGATCAGATGATCAGATTGTATGATCAATGCGATATCAGCCTTTCATTGTTTTCACAGCAAGGAAATCACTGCGGCTAAACGAATCATTACTCAGACATTAGCGCATTATAACCTTTTGGTTTCTCTATCTTGTTCCTCTTTTCGGACAGAGCAGAAAGTGCTGTATTAAATGCTGAGGTACTTATGCTTAATGTCGAAATGCTGTACCTTCAATCGCTTACCTGAATAAGGATTGCTGCTGCCTCTTATTGCTAGTTTACACAAAAAGTTTAATAATGCTTGCGTGAAATGGTTCAAGAAGGCAGACGCATATTAATATTGTCCGAGTCTCGGGGTTATCGGGTCTAACAGTAGTTAGACATGCATAAGAATAACCATAAATACCCTACCGCCATTAAATTTTAGAATCCAGTTAGACCAAAGTGTGGCTTCCTAAGTGTCCGGTCAACATCCTCCGGTTCGCGCATTAAAATTGCGAAATGTAATAGTACAAAATAAAAGGCCAATTTACCGTGCAAAGCATACACATCATGCATATATTTTGTTTATATCAACAGCAAGTAGTAGTAGGTATCCCTTTAAGTAATACTCATGAAGAATTAGAAAGTTACGTCTGTTACGTTCAGTTTCACGGAAGATCAAAATTTGATCCAGGGTACAGCGCAGCTAGTCTTGAAGAAACTCTTTATATCTCAATAGATGTTGCATCGTCTTTGCCATTCTTGCTTCCATAAGCTGGCTTAACCCGGCATATTTCAACCTCCTAAACAATAGACACTTTCGTTCAGCAACAAAGACGCACAACAATGGAACCGTTACTAGAACAGCAACTAGTAATATCCTTTAACGCGATTAATACCGACGTGTCGTAATACTTGTGTACGAACGCTCTCCCACATGTATCGATCCGATAATATGAATGAATTCATTAACTTTCGATTGCATGTACAATGTAAACTAACCTTGACTATTTAAAGGACTCGTGGTAGTGGTTCTGGCAAAGAAGCCGATGCATCATTTCGCCCGAAAAACTAGCAACAACGGAAAGCGATGGAAATTTATCTTTCATTTGCTGTAGAACTGTTGCATGTCAGATCGGAGTAATACAGAGAATCAGTAACAATAATATAACATACTTCGGCATTAATAATATTACCTTGGCTGCTGCTATATAACCAGTTAATATTCACACTATAAACTGCTCGATGCTTAATTTTATATGGATTCTATTACTGTTACTATAAAGAAATTAAGTTTACACATAAACGGCTTAGTTTGAGATCGACAAAATACTGTATATACATGGTTAATACTGATGCAAGATTTAGGAGGTGGCGGAGAGCAGGCGGTGCAGTTGACCAATAGCATTGCATTAAAGTTGTATCACAATTTTTTGGACTCGTATGATTATGATGTTTATTGACATATTAGTAATACTAACCAAATTAGGGTTAATTGTGGAATATCACCCGATGGAGAAAAACAATGGGGTTGCGTCCCACTTATCATCTCATGAACGAGGTAACAAATACTATACATTCGCTACCGAGAAATCAAACCAAATCCAGAACTCCAATATTGCAATATCATTAACCCTCCCACGAAACGTCAGCACGATATATTAATGTCTTTCGTAAACATTGCATAATCTCGACATCAAAACATTTCAAGGAAACCTAAAGTCAAGTTAATATATTGTTTACATTGAAGAAAAATAAAAACATAATATTGGTACAATTTCCAGTCGTGTTCAAAACCGATCGCACTTCCTCAAATCGCTCTCGTTTCCGTACTCCAATCTTTACTAAGGCGCACGGCATCTCATCGTCAATTCTCCCACTCCACTCATTCCACTTTCTTCGTTTTATCCTCAGTTTTCTTGAACAACTTATAGGTGCCAAAGAGACCGAGACAAAGTGAAGCGACCACCCACATAAGAATATTCTTCCAGTCCGACTCACCCCGGCTCCTCAAAACCTTTACTACATATAGTGTTTCCAATGAATGTACAACAATGACAAAGTATGTTATGCCCCGACACACATCAGGTCCAACAAACTCTCGTAAAGCAGCCACAGGCGGGGGTTGATATTCAGGAAAAAGATCAAGATACAGCTCAAATGATACGAGGCTCGCGCCAATTAACAGCGACAAGAAAGCTGGGGGATCGAAGGGTACGTGTTGGGAGGCCATTGTCTTTGATGAAGGTCGTGTGCCGATGTTGAACAGCTTATATAGTGCGATGAAGCAAGTTATATGCTTACAGTTCGATGTATTTGCACGTGGCAAAATCTGATATAAGGTATAAGTTTGATTATCTATCGCATCATCGCAAATGACAAATTGATCACAAGGGCAACCCATGCATATTTGCACAATCTATTCATTTTTGAACGTGCATATAATGCATCAAGGGTCAAACTGTAACCCGCAAGAAATATCATCTTTGCTTTCTTATTTGTTTCGTAGATAAATTTCTTCAATGGTATTCTTTACACTGGTCAACTTTAACTTTATCAGAACTGGCCGCGTTGTGCACGGGCAAATTTTCAAGGGTAGTGTTACGATCAATATAGAATGTAACACAAGTCTAGAATGTAACACCAGTCTAGAATGTAACACAAGTCTAGAATGTAACACAAGTCTAGAATGTAACACAGTCTAGAATGTAACACAGTCTAATGTAATCATCAGACCACCCTCCATCTCATGAAGTAAAATTTCCTTTATAAAAGAACATTCTATGAAGGGACTAGAACATAATTTTGTAGAACGTTTATATTTACATTTACCTCTGTATAAGAACACTGCATATTAATCATTCCGGCTGAAGAACCATGATCATTTTGGAAAATTATTCTAACTAGAAAAGAGAGACCGATCAGAATCCAGACCTTGATGTAATCATGGTTACGTACTTGATCGATAGTTTGTTAGTAATAGTGTTTGATTGATTTAATAAATACTATCAACGTTTGCTATACAATTTTGAGTAAATTCTATAAGAGAACACCTATGATAGAACATAAATTTGGCTGTCCCGACTGTGTTCTTTTATGGAGGTCCGACTGTACACAGTGTTAACGAAGTCATTAATCTGAAATCTTCGTTATTCTGTGATTTTATTATGGCTGGCGTACACAATACAAATTAAATGTAATCGTGTTGCTTAAAGTTTGCAATTCTACGTTTAACTCCTCTTGCATGTATAAACAAAGACTGTCAATATTATTAATAGCTTCATGATGATTGTACCACTCTTTGTTTTACTAACAGTAGACTCCCCAATCCCATACTCGTTCGCTATTTCAATATTTTTCAAACGTGGATTGCTCTCTTTCTTCTGACACAGTTCCGTTTTTGGGGCAATTTTAAGTATTGTTCGTGATTTTTTTGACGTGGATGCTTTGTCTTTATTGTGACGTTTTTTGGAAGGCATGTTTCGTTATTATTTGAAGGTGACACTTATAGAGTGCAAGCGTATAATAGAAGTAAAATGCTTTTACACAATAAACTGACACAACGATGTGGAAGCTTTAGATCTTAATTGATGGTAGATTGAAAGATAGTTACGTGTAATTCCTATAACGAACTTCGTTATACAAGTAAATTTCAAGTGAATGCTTTATTTGTGGATCTATTGAAATCGTTATATAGCATTTTATATATAAATCTTCGTTAATCTGAAATTATTCTGTTAAGAGTGAACTGGTTCCAGAAAAATACTTCGTTATAAGCAATCTTCGTTAAAGTGAATTTCACTGTATAATGCATTCAACTAATCGTTATTAATAGAAGATAATAGTTACGAAATTTGTCTTCTTCCGTAGTATCGTGATCGTTATTGAAATTATCAATTAATTCATCTTCAAGTTCGAAGGCTTCTGAGAAATTTACTTCCGTGTTTTCTTCTAATTCGGCCAATTCGTATATAACCTTGTCATCATCATTATTGATTTGTTCTTCCAAATCGCTGTTTTCATCAAGAGTATATTCGGGTTGAGTCTTATTGTCTTCATT